AAAAAAAAAAAAAAAAAAAAAGCAGCAGCATCATGGATGTGAGACTGGAAGAGACATCAAATCCAGGTCCTTACTCTTACAAGCAATGCTTTCATACGCTTGCTGTGATGAAAGTACTGAATTCCGGGTTAGCAACAGTTCACCTATCCAGCCCTTGCTGCTGATTTAGAACCTGCCTGTCCTTGCACTTATAAATCTTTCCGCTCATAAGTATAAAACAAGAGTTTAAAAGTACCTATTCACATGCCATTTATATGTTTAAAGCTAAATACAACTGTCCTTTTTTTTTTTTTTTTTTTTTTTTTTTTTTTTTTTTTTTTTTTTTTCCCCCAGAAATACTCCTTCCTGTGCCTGATGCATTTCGTGTACAGTATCATTCACTATTTCCTGGACTAAATAGCTGAAGCTCTTCCTTCTCTCCTCCCCACCCTTTTCAGATAGCATGGAGTCTGGATTAACTATGAATGTTCCCATCACTGATTTTTATAAAGCAACTCTTACAAAATTGATCACCAATTCCGGAAGCCCATTCTGAGATGCCTGTAACCTGACTTTCAGAGAGGTTATAGATGCAAATCTTAGCTGATCAAGGTTTCAGTGAAGCTGGTACACAGCAGCAACTATGAAGTAGGAGGGTGGGACATGCACAATCAATTGGAATATCTTCTTTCCTTAGGTCATTATCACACCAGTAAAAGGAAGAAGGACTGAGTATGTACATGCAGAAAGATCCTTCCATTCCTCAGTGTAAGTACTTGGCTTCTGGACCAGCTCTCCACACCCCACCATCCTCTCTCTTTTCACTTTCTTTTGCAAAGATTATGTTCATCACTATCAATAGTCCATTTAGAAAATCAGTAGTATCCCCCATACCTGTTATTTCATAATCTCTAATATGACTTTGACATATTCTTGCATTTTACTCCTGATTTTTTTTTAAATTTTTTTTTAATTTTTTCCATTCATAGAGGAATTTTAGTACATAATACCTTTGGGGGGCTGGTGGGGGGTTGGTTTTGGATTAGAATATGTCTGTCTTCAAACTTGTTTCATATGTATCCAATATATTTCACTTCAATTGAATAAACGCCCCTTAATTAGTGATTTGGTAACTCAGCAATTTTGAACTCGAGCAATGGACAGCCCATCTGGGTAAGACTGCTCATAACCCATTCAGTGTAGTTACAGAAGACACTCCTGTGGGTACTCTGTGACTCTGCCATCAGCAGTTGTATTCATGGATCTTCAGTATGACATTTCTCTCCTAAGTAACAGCTAATAGATCATAATAGCACCAAAAATGCTTCACTGAAATAGATATTATGCAAACATTGATCAGAGACAGTACCTGCCATGAAGTGACTGCAGCTGTTGAGCTGACTTTGACCTTCCCACAGGCCCTGATTAAGGGATCGTTACTAGTTGCATAATTATGAGGAAAACAATCTGATTTACTTTTATTACAGGTTCTTCCTTCTGTGAATTAATTTTGCTACAGTAGCTGACACACCACAAGAGAAGATCCACACCCCATCCTCTTTCCATCTTCCATCCTATTCTCTGCCATATTTATTTTCTCCCATTTCTACCACAGATCCCTAACAAACACAAGGGTAAACAAACCTCCCTTCCTGCAGGAATCTACACAATCAAATCATGAGTAGGTACGAGATACACTGAACCACCCTAACCTGTTATTTAAGCTCTCTTTCACAAGTTGATTTGTGGCCACATCAGAAAGGACGAGCCCCCTTGATCCTTGCAGTTACTATCAGAACAGAAACAGTGCTGAAGAAACCTGGTCTGGGAGCACCACCTCATTACACTAGGTGCTGTGTGAACAAGCTAGAGAAGATGGTCTTGCTCCAAAGGGTTTACAATCTATCATAGGAGCAAGATCAATCAGTTCTTTCTGTCAAAAGTCTGCAGACTTTTTATCAGTTTTCTCCCAGATGCCTGGTATAAACGTACTGTGCATAAAATGCAACACATAGTTGCGTATTTCGCCTGATTTCCCTGAAAAGGCAGTAGACCTCATCTGCAAAGAGAAGTAAGAAAACACAGAGTTCTGATGGTGTCACGCCAACAAATGCAAACTGGTGTTTTATCTGCCTCAGATACTCTGACCACAGACACTTTATTAAATGCATTATTACTGATACCTAGGCAGCTGCTACATTAAAAACATACCGGAAGGATTTTGTTAATGAGCCAGCTCTTACATTTCACCACTTCTTCACTTGATGTCATCTCTATTATGTACCTTTTCTAAATCAAGTGAGCTGTAGATGTGGGATAACAACTTTTCAATACGAAGGAATAAACCAGCAATGTAATCAAGCTTAAGGATAATTTAAAGCTACGGGGCATTCAAAGAAAAAGAGATAGTCATATGTTAAACAAACTCATTTGCATCTGACCATGGGCCATTTTCAGAAGCTTTAAAGTGAAATCACTTTGAATTCTCCTATGAGCTTTTGGGTTTTTCATTCCTTTTACAGTCACTATTTTAGTTATTCATGGAAGAGCCCTCTGCCTTGCTCTTCATTTTCTTCTTTTTGTTTCTTGCCTCAATAAAGTATTTTTTATGATGCCTTTTTGATGATGTATTTTGCTGAACAGCAAGCTGGACCATTAGGGCTTGGCTGATTTTCTACATGTAAAAGGAGGAGACAATGAGATCCAAGGTGAAAATGCGTAAAAGCAGATTCCAGTTGTACTGATTTTCATTTACACTACTTTTTTTTTTTTTTTTATGCTGCAGAGCCACAACTCAGTTCTATTACTTCCTCTAATCAAAGAGCATGTAGAATGATTCATAAAACTGGTAAGACTTGCTATATAATCAAGTTGGTACTTTTTTTGTGCGTGCACGCTGAAATAATTAAAGAATTTATACAAGGATTCAATTAGTCTGGATTCAAAGACTGGTTCTGTTCCAGGCTCCACTTAAAGGACTTTGCAAGTCCTTTAATTGCCTTTACAGTTCCACCTTTCCACTCTTTACCTTCCCTGCTGACTTAATGAACATCTTTATATTACAGAAGATCTCCCATTAAAATGGGTATGCTCAGTTCCATATACAGCATAATCCTAATCTCAGTTAGCACTTGCAAAGTATTGTAATATAATTAATTATAACATGAGGAATTAACAGATTTATATAATTTCCAGGAAGTTGTAAAAATCCCTTTCCTTCTTCTCTTTTTTGAATATACATTTTTTTTTCTTCTGAATAGTAATAATTATTAACAACAGAACTAATCATAAGGTACACTGTAGGCACATATTTCTTGAAAATTGATGTTTTGCAACAGCAATAAGGATAAAAATCTGAATAATTATGTCTCTTGCTTTTGAGCACACCTCTGAATTTATTGTTGAAAGATCATATATGAACTGTAACAAGTGACTCTATCTAATTTAGACTGCGATAAAC